AATGTGTCTAATTTTCATGAAAATAATGTGAATTGACTGTGTTTTTCCATGCAAAAAATAATTGTGATTTTGCAGTGAAATATGACGCTCGCAGCGGTCGATACTCTCATACGCACTGACACAAACAAGGACACGAGCGTGTCAGTGACCGTACAACTCTGCCAAAACATGCTCAATACAAACAAGCGCATGCGTCACTCAGAAAACTGCTGAAAATAGCCCGACTCATTCTCAACAACACAAAAACAACATCTCTGAGTGCTGGCTGATCAATGATCGACTGCTGGAAGCAGCAGCATCTAACGATAGAAGAGCTCATGCATCAGTGAAACAGAGAATTATACCAAGTGAAGAAAAAATGTGCAAAATTATGCTATTGTGTTATTAACATGTTTGGATATCAAGAACAGGTTTCATTTTGGACAAAAACACCGTAGTAGTAAAACACTCCCATATTTCCTGCACCGCAATATGACAACATGTTCAAAACAACCATGTCTTCTTGTAACAAAAAGCCTTTTAAAGCTGAAGCATGATTGCGAAAATAATGACTGTTTTCAAACAGGTTTCAAACACTGCACCTGTCTGCCATTGGTTGAACAACAAGTAGCCCCGCCCCCAACATTAAAGCATTGACTGAGGCGTCCTGTCAGCCCATTCTGCTAGTATTCATATATATATATATACACAAAATAAAATAAATGAATAAATTATATAATAAATATAAAAACAAAAAAAGATGCTTTTATTAATACCTACAAGGATTAATAACTTGCCACTCATTTACGTATTTCATGTGCAAAAATCTAAGAAAAACAAATAAATACAATAAAATGAATAAAAAATCAAATTAAAGTAGTACTAATAACTTGCTACTTAGTTATGCATTTCATGTGCAAAAATCTAAGAAAAACAAATAAATACAATAAAATGAATAAAAAATCAAATTAAAGTAGTACTAATAACTTGCTACTTAGTTATGCATTTCATGCGCAAAATCAAAGAAATAAAAAAAAAAAAATTATAATAATATAAAAATACTTGCTTGTATTAACTAAATGTTCTAATAACGAGCTACTTAGTTATGCATTTCATGTGCAAAATCAAATAAAAAATTATATAATAAAATAGTAATAGAAAAATATACAAAATAAAATAGTAATATATATAAAAAGTACTTACTTGCATTAATAATTAAAAATACTGATTATTTGCTACTTAAGCATTTCATGTTCAAAACCAAAGAAATAAGCAAAACAAACCTAGCAGTGACATAATAAACAAGGGTTTCTTAATTAATATAATATATTCAAATAATTTTTCCTTAATAGCAAAATATTGAATGTTTTAAAAATGTATTCACAGAAGTGCATTAAAAACAAAACATGCAGACAGTAATTAAACATCTTTTTTCATTTAAAAACAAGCAAGAAAAAAAAAATCTACTTTTTTGAATTCGTAAAAAGAGAGCATAAACTCACATGTTTTCCAGTTTAGTCAACCGCAGCACAATCAGAACTAGTCTGCATTCAGGAGCTGTTTACTACAGAGACTGACCACCAGCTACTGATTAACCTCAACACACACACACACACACACACACACACACACACACACACACACACACACAAACACACACACTGGCTGTTGTGTGCGATCAGTCAGCGTCTTCAAATATTAACAGCCCTAAAAAGACGCCCCATAACGCCCCTGCTGCCAAACATTCAGTAAGAAAAACAGAATCAGCCCATTTTAACTCAACTCGCATGCCTCACCACGAGAGAGCCTCGCGGCGTTTGTCTTCCCCGTGTGCGCACTATGAAGGGAGCATATGCTGAGTGTTTATCTGGAGTCAGTACAGTGAGTTACAGACTCATAGTGGATTACGGTTAGACGGCTGTAATCCCCTTTAGCAGAGCGGATCTATTCGCTGCGGCCCACCGGCTCTATCAGCCCGTTCTCAATCACAAACACACCTTCTCCTCCAAAAACCTTCTCTCAAAATGAGATGTGATAGTAGAGCTGGGCGATACAGCTAAAAAATGTATCAACGATATAATGTTTCATATCGTTCGGTATCGATAATTATTAAAACATTTTTATAACCTTTTTTATAACAAAGAGCAATAGAATTTTTTTTTTTTTATTTAACCACTGTATTTTTTAATTAACCCAATTCATTGAGACAAACAACAAATATTTTTTGTTTTAACAGTCAAACTAATGTTTTATATGCCGATTAAATAGGCCTTAAGGAAACTTTTGACTTGTCTCCCGAGACCACTCACTCTGATTGTATTTAAAAACATATGAGACGCAGTGAAAAGGAATAAACCTCCACAAATTTGCGACATGTTTTCTAAAAGTTGAAACTGTTTTAACTTTGCATGGCTTTCTATACATCTCTTCTGTGAGACGTGAGTGCAGCAGTCATATTTGTCCATCTAGAAAATGCGCTGAATATGCGTTCTGTGTGAATGGCTTGGTTTTGGTTTTAACCTAATCAAGATCTTCTCCGCATTGAGCTTCTATATTTCTCTAATATTTTGAATGAATAACGCAGCAGCGGCGCGTCTCGTGGGCTAGACTAACAAAACATTAAAATGCAAAAACGTCACTTACATCATCATCACCGCATCTCGTGCTCCACTGATGACGCTCCCTGACCCACTCCTAACAGTCGATTGTACTGTTTTTGCATTCAAATGCAAATGTTTATTTTAAATTCGACTAATATTCATTCTTTACTCACAATCTCCTCACCACAGGCAGACACAGCACTCATGTTTGTGTTTGCTGTCTGTGTAACTCAGAGCACGTGCCTATATCATGCACTATATCGAACATTTTTTATATCGTTATCGAAGATGTACCGTTGATAAATATCGATACCGTTTTATCACCCAGGCCTATGTGATAGACAAGCATCTATTTCCCAGCATGCCTCTGCACCAGGATAGTGTAAACAAGCCAAATGATGCTTCGATTAAGACTCTTTCCTAGGGCTGAAACGATTCCTCGAATACCTCGAGTAACTCAAGGCTTCGTTTAGTCCATTTACTGTAACTACACACGGAACACCGTGTTTCCCCACAGAATATTATTACTGACGCACAACCTGATAAACGCTGGACCAGACCATAGACTGTATAAAAACAGGGACCAGACTTAAAAAAAAGCACTGGGCATATTTAAGACCGTAAATCAATATGGCGGCTAGTTATAATGTCACTACGTTATCTATGTTTTGTGAAAGACTAAACGCCATTGTGCATAAAAATACCACAGAAAGAAAGTTAGTCAATATCACACGAAGAGTGCCAGTCTTCAGCTCTAAAATTAGCATGATTACAAATGTGACTTTATTCAACAGTTCAATAAACAAGAAGGTAATATTATGAGACTTACGTTTTTGACACTGTGAAACAGTGCCTGTTTTTGCTTTATTTGGGCAGCAAAAAAATTCCAAACACAGCCAGAGCGCTGTTTTGTGTCTCTGTGCAACATGACGGCGTTTCGTTCCTGAATGAATCAACCATTTAAATGATTCGGTTCAGTCGCAATGACTCACTTCTTAACAGTGATTTGCTGCCACCTGCTGGCGGTTTTAATTTCACATTTAAAGTATCTTTTCGTTTTTATAATAATTTTAAATATCAGTATTCAATGTTTTATGTTTAAAAAACAAAATATTATTTATGCATTTGTAACTGCATGTTAAATGCATTTATGTCCCTCTGTGTCAGAAATTCATCCCATGCAGCTTCTGCGTTTCCTCTGCATTGCAAAGATGAATTTCGATACTGATATCATTTGTTTGGTAACACCCCAACACTTTTAGAAGAAAGGCTTTATAAAGGTAAAAATGCCCATAAATTGTCAAATTCAATTTAAACTTATTGGAACAGATTAATTTCTATCACTGCTGTGAACGGACCAGTACACAGAATATAAAGGATATCAAAAACAAGTTTTACACACACACACACACGGATAGGGACATTTAAGAGGGTTTATTCTCCAAATAACTCTAATTTCATGTTGCAGAAAAACGTGTTTAAAAATTGTGTATGGTCTCTTGTTCTTGTTCCAAGTTACCTTCCTCTCCACTGATTTTTGCCTCTCACAAAAGCCACAAAGCCTTCCAAGAAGACAGTAAAGGCTCATGTCATGCTTGAGCTTTAGTTAGGCTGAAACTTGAAAGTTATATGGTTTATTAAATCTTTACGGCACAGAGTCTAAAAGAAAGACTGAAGTAGCCTAATCTGTAGGATTTGATGACTTGAAGTGAAAAACACATCACAACAAAACTGCCGTAATCAACAACCTGTCTACAATCATAATAATAATATGAATTGCTATTATTATTCAAAATATGTATTACTTAAATTATAGATATTTAATCAAAGAAATATATTTCAATTGCGTTAACACTAATGCACTCTAACATAAAATTGGCATATTATTGGTCTGAGAATACTGAAATTTCAATCAATATGTAATTAAAAGAAAATTAATACAATTCACATACCTGCATAATAAGACCAGAAAAGCATAATAAAAGTGGTCTGAAGCCATAAACAAACCAAATCTAAGACAGCCCTAACCATACAACATGAAACGTTTACTTCAGTGTTTGACAGATGAAAAAATCCTGAAGAAAGTTCATTGTTTATGTGCATTATTCTGTCAGACTGTCAAAGAATGAACAGGGGTAAGGGATAGAAAATATAATTAACCTGACAGAAAATCAAAGGAGGCCTATGCAATGTCTTCACTAATAAAGTCAAACAAACTAGGGGCCGACCGATTATCGGCACCGATATTAAGCTTTATAATTGTTATCGTATCGGTCATTTTCAAAACCGATTTGCCGATAAAATAATTTAAAAGCATTTAAAGAAAGTTTTTGCCAGAGCCCTTGTTATTCTTAATTTTGACATGAATTTTAATTTTTACACCAGACATATACAGTATAACAGCTCAAAATATCGGTTTACTTGATCTATAATAATCAGTATCGGCCCTGAAAAACACATATCGGTCGACCCCTGATACAAACGTGTGTTTGGTGATGCTTACCCTATAGACCTCCTCCAGCAGTAGTTTAGCGCAGTTTCTGCCAAAGTCCTCCGGCAGCACCGGATCTCCCTGACCCTGCGGCGTGGACATGACCTCAGCGCCAAGAAACGTGCCGTTCACCGTCTCAGCAACCAGCGTCAGGCCGAACCCTGCAGACCTGCACACAACACACAGTGCATTAGTCATTTCACCGTGACCACGTACTCACTGGTTACTAGATTGGGTTGCTGCTATGGTGTTCTGGGTGGTTACTAGGGCGTTGCTAGGGTGGTTATCAGGGCATTGCTAGGGTGGTTACTAGGGCATTGCTAGGCCATTGAAGTTTCTTCACCACTAAACCCCCTTTACGCCAAGGTTCAATAAAAATCCCTTAATTATTGGCAAACAGCTCAGCATTAAGCCATCAGCTCAGACTGACTGACAGCAGCGACTCACTTCCCAGAGCTGGCTCCCTTCATGTGGTCGGTGTAGATGTAAATATCCGGGATGAATTTGTTCAGGATGCTCCTGGCCGAGTCCACGATCCTGTTGGCCATCTGAAGAGAAACTCGCACCGAGAACCTGACGCACGCCGGTCAAGGATCAACACTAAACACCAGTGCTGTGACACGTCAACAAAAAACACTCGAAGGCTAGATGACACTGCTTTAATTTAACTGGTTAATATTTAACTTTAAAAAAACTTTTTGTTCAACAAAAATCTGGGGCCGTATTCATAAAACATCTTAAGGAAAATAATAGCTCCTAACTTGCCCATTTAGGAGAAACTCTTAAAAAAATAATAGGTGTGTCAGTCCTAATTTTAGGACTCCTACATTTTTTTTTGCTAATCGCAAAGTGTGGACGCGATATTACTCTGTTCCAGAGCATATGCATGACTGCCAGCCTTGAGTTGCAGTCGTACTTGCCCTGGGCAAGAGTGAGCGCACCTCCGTTCTCCCCAATCAGCACTGCTCTAGCCAACAGCGTAAACACTCACCGGGACGGGAGAGAGACCGAGTGGGATTATGGCATCTACTGGGTCAGATCGATAGTTAGGCAAACAGGCGCGAGTGGAATGTACAAAACATGGTGACATTCATTTTTAAGTAAATATAATGTGCGATATATTGCATCACCAAAAATTATTGAGGTCATGTATATATATTGCGCGATAAGTTTATATATTGATTATTGCGACAGGCCTACTTATCGGTTCTGTTTTCAGTACTGGAGATTAAAAGATACATTCTTAGATGTTTTTGTTAGTACGTGAACGTTATCTTTCACATTTTATCTCCCAAACAGATTAATTTGAAATAAGTTTATAATGCATGTTGGCTATTCCCAATTCAGAAGAG